GCATATGCTGACCTGTCAGCCTGCCTTAATAAAAGTGCTTCCCGTGGGACCGGGGGGTGGGGTTGGGAGTCAGGACTCCTGGGTTCTCTCCCCAGCTCTGGGAGAGGAGTGGGGTCAAGCGGTTAGAGCAGGGGGCACTGGAAGCCAGGACTCCTGGTTTCTTCTTCGAGTGCTTGCTCATGTCCATTCCAGTATGGGTGTGCACGTGTCACATGCATGGTCACTGTAAGGCTTTTTCCCCCCTAATCGCTAGTAGTATCCGTTGGGTCGACTCTGGTGCCCCTGGAGTGGTGCCTCCATGGCGCAGTTGATAGGCACCTGCTGTCTCCTCACTTGCTTCTTTCTGTCTAGAACAATCTTCTCTTGACCAGCAATAGATCCCCTCATGGTGGTCTTCCTGTAAATAGATTGTAGATAAGTGTAAATAGTTCGTTACCATAAGTACAGTGCTAGCTAGTTTTTCTAGTAAGCACCCACCCTGGCCCCAGGGCGGAGTTCGAACAGTGTGCAGCATGCCAGGCACATGCCAGTTAGTGACCTCACATGCGCTGTTCGAAGTGACCCTGGATGAGACCCTCTCCCGGGAAGTGCCAGGCTGTAGGAACTTCAAACCAAGAACCCAAAAAGAGAGAGAGAATCGACTGAAGTTCCTACTTACGGAGACGGCACTCTGTCCTGCTTCAGAGTGGTGACTGGACCCGGCACTGAGCGCTCCCTTTCCCAGGTGCACGCTGGTGTCCGTTCGGCTCCCCGGCACACTTCTCTGGCACCCAAGAAATCTGCACCGATGACACAGCACTGTTCCCCATCACCGGGCCCGAAAAGAAGTCTGATTGGGGGTATTGGGGGATGAACCACTGTCAACCGGGTGCAACTCAACCGGCCTATTGACTCCCCCGCGGGGGGTGGGGGACTTGTCAAGTCCAGTACCAAGGAGCTCCCCGTGTAGGTTGAGCCAAGAAGAGGACACGAACCTGGCAGCACCAGAGGCATATGGGGCAGCGCAAAACCTCTTACCCCTCCAGGTAGCGCTGTCTCCAAACTGGGAGTCTACAAGGGACAAGTCAGGCCGCAGGGCCCAGCCTTAAGAGAGCAATCACCAGTCCTGGATGAGCCCGCGAAGATGGCGATGCACCGCCCTCCATCTCGCTTGTCATTGGGAGACTCGGCACCCAGGCCATGCTTGCTGCAGCAACGCCTTGCCTAGACGCCGGTCTCGTCCCTGGCATCCGGCTTGCAGTTGCGGTGCTGCTCCCTATCAAGGCAGTCATTTGGCACCATGAGGCACCCTGGTCACCTAGGAGCCGGTCCTTGAGCTCCAAATCTCAGGTAGAGTCATGTGCCTTGCGAGGGACCAGATCTTGGGCAGATCAGACCCCCCATGGATATGGCCCAGGGACTTGTCCCACCAGCATGGGGTACCGGCCAATGGCAGATGCTGGACCCCTTGGCTGCACATGGTCCAGGGCTCCCATGGGGGATGCTCCTTTTCGGCACTGTCAGAGACAAGGGCACCCCCTCCATCCCTGTCGGAAAGAGGATTGGTTCCTGGGGCAGCGATCGGGGGTCCTCAAGCCACACCAGCAGGAGACTGCCAGGGCTGGAGGAGGACCAGGCACCGGCAACGGTCCAAACCACTTTTGTCACCCTCCCCTGATGAGGCAGTGGTGGGTATGGCTGTAGCCCCGACACAGGATGCCTACAAAGCCCACCAGGAGCTCCTGCGTTGGATGGCTCAGAACCTTAACCTCCAGAGAGAGGAGATTGCGGGGTCAGCCCAGCGTTGGAGGACATTGACTGCTTTGAGGCCAGCAAGAATTGCCCTGCCCCTGAACGAGGCCATTCTGCAACCCATGAGGGCTTTGTGGCAGACCCTGGCCTTTCTCCAGCCTACGGCCAAGTGGGTGGAGAGGAAGTATTTCCTCCCCCATAAGAGTTACGAATACCTTTATACTGGGCTCCTTGGTTGTTGCTGCAGCCAACAAGAAGGGGAGGCGAGGGCAGCAGGGGGCCAAAGAAGCAAAGAAGCTGGACCTCCTGGGGAGGAAAATCTTCTCCACAGGGGGCCTCCAGCTTAGGGTCACAAACCACCAGGCTCCGTTTAGCTCACGATTTTAATTCCTGGTCAGCAGTGCAGAAATTCAGAGAGAGCTTGCCCTCTGACTCTAGGGCTATGTCTACACGACACAGCTTTTAGTAACGTGGCTGTGTTGCTACAGCCATGTCGCTAAAAGTTGGGCTGTGGAGCCGCTGTTTGTCAGCTATCCTGCCGACAAACTTCCACTCCCCAACGAGCGGCGAGTGCGTTGTCGGCAGGAGAGTGCTTCTGCCGACAGTGCGCTGTTCACACTGGCACTAAACTTTTCTTTCAGGTTTTTTTTTTTTAACAGCTCTGAAAGACAATAGTTTTGTCGTTCAATTGCCAGTGTAGACGTAGCCTAGGGCAGAATTTGCTGCCATGACTGAAGAGGGCAGGGCCATAGCCAAGGCATCCCTCCAGTCGGCCCTAGACATGGACGCAGCAGCCCAGGCGATGGCTACTGAAGTTGTAATGAGAAGTTCCTGGCTTCAGTCACCAGGCCTCCCCCATGAAGTCCAGCAGACTGTTCAGGACCACCCATTCGAAGGGCAGTCCTTATTTCTAGAACAAACTGATGCCCAGCTGCACAGCCTGAAAGATTCAAGGGTGACCTTGAAATCATTGGGCTGCCCCATCCTGGAAACATAAGCCGCAGCCCATGGGCCGTTTTTACCAGTCCCACTAGCGGCAGGACTTCCTGAAACCCCTATTGCTCTGTCACCTGAAGAGACCAGCCTGTCACTCCTCTGCAGCCTCAATGTTTGCGCACGCAAAACAACCGTCGGGCAACAGACAAAGCTTTTGAGGGGGCACCTGAGGACAGGGCACCAGCCCAGTACCTGGATCTTGGCCTTATGTTTGTGGACCGTTTGTCCCATTTTTGTTGGCCCACGCCCAGTATCACATCTCCAACTGGTGGGTGCTCTGCGCGGCAAAAGTGGGATACGCCTTGTAGTTTTTCTTCCCCCACCCCACCTCCCCATCCCTCTTCAGGGACCCTTCTCACGAAAATCTCCTGGCCCAGGAGGTGCAGTTGCTCCTAAGGGCAGGGGCAGTGGAGGAGGTTCCCGGGGAACTAAGTGGCAAGGGGTTTTACTCCTGATCCCAAAGTCCAGTAGGGATCTCAGAGCTATCCTAGACCTCAGAAACTTTAACAAGTTCTTAAAGAAGTTGAAGTTCCGCATGGTTTCCCTGGATCCAGGGGGCTGGTATGCTGCCCTTGACCTATAGCTCTCTTCCAGGGACACAGAGATACCTTCAGTGTGTGGTAAACTGGAACCACTGTCAGTTCACAGTTCTGCTCCCCGGCCTCTCAGCTGCCCCAGGAGTGTTCACAGAATGCATGGTAGTGGGAGCAGCTTCTTCAGGAGGAGAGGCGTGCAGGTCTGTCCTGACCTGGACAACGGCTGGTGAGAGGTCGGTCCAAGGTGCTAGTGGAACAACCTGTGGAAATCGTTCTGTCCATTTTCAAGAGCCTGGGACTCCTGGTTAATGAGCAGAAGTCCACCTTCACGCCCTTCCAGAGGGTAGAACTCCTAGGCGCAATCCTTGACATGACTCAAGCAAGGGCCTCCCTCCCGTAGAGCTGCTTTCAGGGCCATCTCAGCCCTCATACCAGGCAGGACAGCATACTCCACCACTACAGCCTAAAGCTCCTGGAGCACATTGCCTCCTGAACTCACGTGGTGCGGTGTGCATGTCTCAGACTCCACCCTCTGCAGCTGTGGCTGGCATCGGTGTACATTACCGGGTGTCACCCACTAGACAGTGATCGCTCTTCCCCAGACAACGCTCGACGCCCTTCAGTGGTGGCTGGATCAAGACACCGTGTGCTGGCGTTCCCTTTGCCAGGCCTGCACCAGCGGCAGAGCTGGTCACAGATGCCCCAGATATGGGGTGGGGAGCCCACCTGGGGCCTCTCAGGGCGCAGGGTCTCTGGACACAGGAGGAGGTTTGCCTGCGTATCAGCGTCAGGGAGTGAAGGGCAGTGCGCCTTGCCTGCCAAGCGTTCTGCCGCAAGCTCTGGGGCAGATGTGCGTCAGTCCTCACGGACACCACAGCAATGTTCTACATAAGCAAGGGGGAACCCGATCCTCTCCCCTGTGCCTAAGGTGTTGAAACTCTGGGACTACTGCTTAGCCCACTCCATTCACGTGGAGGCTGCTTAGTTTCCAAGCTCGCAGACCACCTGAGCAGATCCTTCACCAGTCATCACCAGTGGTCTCTCTGGCTGGACATCCTGGAGGCTATTTTCCAGAAGTGGGGGTTTCCCCAGGTGGACCTGTCTACAACCAGAAGCAATAGGAAATAACCCAGTTCTGCTCATACCTGGGGCACAGCCTGGTCTCTCTCTTGGACGCCTTCCATCTGCTATGGGGAGGCAGGCTCCTTCTACGCCTTTCCTTCCACACCGTCATCCCAAAGTGCCCCTCAGGGTCAAAAGGGACAAAGCCCACGTGATTCTCCTAGCACCGGCATGGCCGCACCAGCATTGGTTCACAACCTTGCTGGACCTCTCGATAGATGCCCCAGTCGGTCTCCCAGTGTGGACAGATCTGATCTGCCAGGGCCGCATGCAGTCTCTGCATCTTTTTTGTGGCTGAGCGAAATGGAGCTGGGCTGTTTGGCACTGGTCCAAGTGGTCCTTATGGCAGTCGGCCAGAACGACCTATCTAACAAAATGGATAAGGTTCTCACTCTGGTCACTTCAGAACGGGGTCCCCCTTCTGGAGGCCACACTCCCCTTTAGCCTGGACTACCTGCTCCATCTGAGTCCACTAGGTGGCAATATTGGCATTCCACCCTCTGGTGAACGGCAGATCAGTTTTCTCCAACCCAATTAGCTCTTTGTTCTTAAAGAGCTTTGAGCGCCTGTATCTGCAGCTTCTGCTTCCCTGGGATCTCAACAGGGTCGCTGTTTGAGCCACTATCAAGGTGTCCCTTGATTTTATTTATCCTGGAAGACCACCTTTCTGGTGGCCATCACCTCGGCCAGGAGGGTGTCAGATCCGGCCCTTCACCTCCGAGCCGCCCTACATGGTCTTCAGGGACAAAGTCTGTGTGTGTCCTCACCCGTCCTTCCTTCCAAAAGTGGTCTCCCATTTCCACAATAGTCAGGACATCTTCCAGTCTTCTGTCTTAAACTTCATGCTAATAAGCACGAACAGAGGCTGCACTCTCTGGACGTTAGACGCAGGACTGGCTCTGCCATTTTTGCCGCCCCAAGCAAAAAAGAAAAAGAAAGCCGCTCGGACAGTGCTGCCCCAAGAATGGATGGAATGCCGCCCCTTAGCATGTGCCGCCACAGGCACGTGCTTCCTCCACTGGTGCCTGGAGCCTTCCCTGTTTAGAGATGCTCTGGCCTTTTACATAGAAAGGACCAAACCCTTTTGAAAGTCCACCCAGTTATTCGTTGCTGTTGCAGAAAGGACAAAAGGCAGCGTGGTCTTGGCATGGAGGATCTCCTTCTGGATAATGTCCTGCATCTGCACATGCTATGGGCTGGTGAAGGTGGCTCCCCCCACACTCAACAGCACATTCCACACGGTCACAGACCTCACCAGCGGCATTCATGGCTCATGCTCCGGCTATAGATATCTGCAAGGTGGTGACCTGGTCCTCTGTCCGCACGTTCATGGGCACTTCACCCTCACCCAGCAGGCAAGGAACGATGCAGCCTTCGAGGCAGTGCTCCTTCACTCCGTCTCACAGGAACTCCGACCCCACCCATTGACGGAATGCGTGGGAGTCCCGTATGCTGGGATGGCCATGAGCAAGCACTTCAAGAAGAAGAGATGGTTACTAACCTTTCCGTAACTCCTGTTCTTTAAGATGTTGCTTATGTCCATCCCCCAACCCACCCCCTGCCCCTCTGTCGAAGTTGCTGGCAAGAAGGAACTGAGGAGGCAGCAGGTGCCTATCTACCATGCCATGGAGGTGCTACTCCAGGGGGCACCAGAGCCAAGCTGATGGATATCAGTAGGGGAAAAAGTCTTCCAGTGACGATGCGCACACACCCATACTGGAATGGGCACGAGCAAGCACTCGAAGAACCACCATTACGGGAAGGGTAGTAACTGTCTTTTTCTCCCCAGCTCTGGGAGGGGGAGGGGAGGGGGCTGGGTTCTGTCCCCAACTTTGGGAGGGGGAATAAGTAGAGGCGGGGCTGGGAGCCAGGACTCCCCGGTTCTGTCCCCAGCTCTGGAAGAGGAGTGGCATCTATTAGAGCATGGGCGATGGGGGTGGAGCTGGGAGCCAGGACTCCTGGGTTCTATCCACGGCTCTAGGAATCCTGGCTCCCAGCCCCCTGCTTTAACCCATTAGATCCCACTCCTTTCCCAGAGCAGGGGAGAGAACCCAGCAGTGCTGGGTACCCGATGCCTTAACCAAGCCCACCCACGTCCCAGAGCCAGGGAAAGGGGTCGGGGGCTGGGTCCCTGTAGCTCTGGCTGTGCCGTCACAGCTGCGTCTGTCTGTCTCCTGCCTGCAGCCATCGCCCAGCGTCAAATCGGAGGAGAGTGCAGAGGCTGTGCCAGGGGACGCTGAGCCAGACCTGGCCAGCACGGACAGGAACGAGACCAGGAAACTGGTATGCTGGGCTGGGAGCTGGATCGCTGCTGGTGTGTGTGTGTGTGTGTGTGTGTGTGTGTGTGTGTGTGGATATATCTTCTCCAGTCCTGCTCTGTACACCCCCTTCCAGTGGTTGGGGAGCGGGGCAGCCTCTTGGCCCCGTGGTGCTCCCTGCAGGAGGGCGTCTCTTCCCCTGGCACCCACCCTGTCATGATGTCCCTGCAGGGCCAGGAGTCTCCGGTGCAGGGCCCCCGGATCAAGCATGTGTGCCGGCATGCGGCGGTGGCGCTGGGCCAGTCGCGTGCCATGGTGCCCGAGGATGTGCCCCGCCTGAGCGCCCTGCCCCTGCGCGAGCGGGAGGAGATCGCTGCCTCACCGGTCGCCGAGGGTGAGTATGGAGGCAGTGCCCACTCCTCCGGGGCTGAGCTGGGGCATGGCCACCGGCCTAGCCGGGACCCGTGCCATGCAGGGCTGTCCCTGGGAGGGAGACTGCGGATGACTCTTCCATCGCCAGAAGTGCTGTCCTTGAGGTGGCGCCAGGGAGTGCTGGGCTGCGTTGGGGGAAGGGGTGTGTCAGTGAGGGGTGGGTGGGGGCTGCGCTAAGGGGTGGCTTGGCAGGATACTCCATGCTGTGGAGGCGGGGTGGCAGGTCTCCGGGAGGGGCGTGTGGGGGCTGCGCTATGGGGTGGCTTGGCAGGGTGTGCCATGCTGCGGGGGCGGAGTGGGAGGGCTCGGGGGGGGCGGTGTGCTGGGGGGGGGTGGGGGGGGGTGCGATGCTGTGTGGGGGCGGAATGGGAGGGCTCAGAGGGGGACGCTAGGCTACAGGGTGCTGTCCTGCAGGCAGCTCTATGCCGCACATGGTGGGGCCAGGGGCACCCCATGGTAACCTCTCTGCCGTCTGCCCTGCAGAGACCTCCTCGGCCTCAGAGAGTGAGGGTGGGCGAGCACGACGGGGAAAGGTGGAGCCAGTGGCAGTGAAAGCCCCGCCCCCCACACGCCGCCCCGCCCCCCACCACCATCACTCAGGCAAGAAGAACCGCATGACCCGCTGCGGCAAGTGCAAGGGCTGCCTGAAGCTGCAGGACTGCGGGGCCTGTGTCAACTGCCTGGACAAGCCCAAGTTCGGGGGACCCAACACCAAGAAACAGTGCTGTGTGTGAGTGTCCCCGGGGCGGGGGGGCAGGGCGCCCGGCTGCCAGCCTGGCTTTGGGCAGGGAGTGGGGCGTGGTGGTTAGAGCGGGGAGTTGGGGGCCAGGACTCCTGTGCCCCCCCCCCCGACTGTGCCCCTGTGTGGCTTAAGGCAAGTCAGGTCACCTTGCCGGAGCTCCCTGTATAGCGCTCCCCCAAAGCACTGTGTGAATGCACTCGCTCCCCTGCACATCACATGTGATGGACGAAACACATGTATGTACGTACATACATACATACACCCTGCGTGTTGCTGCCCCCTCCCGCACCCGTGGCCCCCTCGCTCTGACCGGCTCTCTCTGCCCTGCCAGGTACCGCAAGTGCGATAAGATTGAGGCGCGCAAGATGGAGCGGCTCTCCAAGAAAGGTAATGCCAGTGCTGCCGCAGCCTGGGGGGTGGGGGGGATGGGCTGGGAGCCAGGACTCCTGGGTTCTCTCCCTGGCTCTGCCAGTGTCTTGCTGAGCAACCTTTAGAGGTCATGGGGCTTGCTTGTGTGCTGCAGACCCCCCTACCCTGGGTTTGTACCCTGAGCGCTGCAGGCAGTGTGTGTGTGGGGGTGTCCTTTCTCTTCCCGCCTGCTCTCATCTGGGGCCCATACCCCATTCTACTACAGCAAAACCGCCATGGCAGAGCCTGGAGCTCATCCTGAGGCTCTGAGCTGCATGTTCCAGGGATCTTCAGCGCTCCCCCCTGCAGCCCAGCGCCCCCCTAGTGCTGCCCTGGAGTATCTGGGCCTGTCCCCTGCAGCCCAGCGCCCCCTAGCATCGCCCTGGGGCATTGGGCCTGCCCTGCCCCTGCTCCCTGCAGCACGGAACCGCCAGTGGCTTAGGGGAGAGCTCCCCCTACTGAGTGACACCCACCCTCCCATTCCCTTTGCCACAATGTCCCTCTCTTGGCCCATAGCAACCCTCTTGAAAATCTCTGGGGTGTTCCTGTCTGACCGCTGGAGCCGGAGGCATTGGGGGAGCAGCCTGCATGCCCCCCCCGCCCCCTCCCCAGCTGTGGGCCACGCTGTGAATCTAGAAGCTGTCCTTGCAGAATTCCTGGATTTGGTGGATGTTGGTGCAGGGTGGGGTTGGAATGGAGCTGCAGCTCTCACTTGCTAGATCGCCAGTGTCATCTTCATGTGTTTCGCAGAGAGGACCCAGTCCCCCTTAGGAGGGACACCCCCTTGTTCTGCATATGTCTAACCTCCCCGGCTAGCTCCATTCCCCTGACCCTGTCCGGGAAATGCTCAGAGATCGTAAGTAGCAAGGGCTGCAGTGGCATCTCATTAGAGTTCAGAGTTAACACAATGACAATTGTGGGGTAGTAGTTAAGGTCCAGGGTTAACACAACCCGAGGTTGCCAGTCTATTATCATTCATGGATAATGGACTTGTTAGGGTTCAGAGTGAACACAGCAGCAAGGATGACACATGTTGATTAAGGTTCAGTGTTAACATAGTGTTGAAGTTGATGCACCTTCCTTAAGGTTCTGAGAGCACTTGCTGGCAAGGATAGTGCATGAGTGGCCAGTCAGGGTTGGGGTTTACCTGGCCACGTGCACCACACAATCCTTGTGGGCAAAGGCCCTGGGCACCCTGGCCCTGTGGCACTGCTGGGCCCAGCGGGGCTGCATGTCTTCACCAGGGCATGGCCAGGAAACTCACCAGGGGGTGTTTGCTCTGAGGCCAGGGATTGCTGAGCTTGGGGAGGCAGCGTGGCCTAGCGGATACAGCCCTGGGCTGGGACCCAGGAGACCTCTGCTCTGTTCCCAGCTCTGCCACTGGCTTGCTGGGTGAGCAGGTAAGTTGTCATCACCCCGTGCTTCAGTTTCCCCACCGTGTGGGGTGCTTTGAGATCTGTGAATGGGGCCGTTGGAGGAGAGCTGGGTGTTCAGTGCTGCTGGGACCCCCGTTTGCTTAGATTGTAGGGGCTGCTGCATCTGTGTGACACCTGGACTGCCAGGGGAGGGGGCAGCTTCCAAGATCGGGCAGGGTCTGTGGGCGCTGCACCGGACCCATCCTGCTGTGGGTAGCCCAGCCCTCCCCACCTGTCCTGTGGCTGAGGAGGGAAACTGGCCCAGCCCCACCGCCCTGTCCTTTGTCCTCCCTCCCAGCTCACCCAGAGCCGGGCAGGGGGCAGAACCCAGCTCCGTGGGGCGGCAGCGAGCCTGCCAGGGGGTTCCCCTCCAGCACGGTAGGGCAGGAGGAGGCTGCAGCAGGTACCTGAGGGGGAGCTGGGGAGGTGGCCTGAGCTGGGGGGCAGACAGGCTGCTCTGTGCTGCTGCCAGTGGGGGGAAGGCTCAAGGCGTGTGTGTGTGTAGGTCCCAGCCCCTTGGGGAGGGGGAGTGGAATGGGGGGGCTGCATGTACTTGGGGGAGGGGGAGATCTGTGTGTGGTTGTGAGCCATGTGTGGCGGGGGGGGGGGGAGGGAGAGAGAGAATGGGTGGGGTGGAGTCTGTGGTGCTGGGTGTGTAAATGGGGGAGGGGTGCTGAGGATGTGTGACTGCAGGGGGCGGGGAGAGGGGAGCCCTGGGGTGTATATCAATGGGATGGGGAGGGAAGCCCTGCAGGGTGTTGGAGGGGAGGAAGCTGTTCACAAAACCAGACCTGCTCCAGCACTAGGCTGGGAGCCAAAACTCCTGTGTTCTATCCTGCCCCTTCTCTCACCCACTTCCCCATGTGGGGTCCCTGTCCGCTCTGTGCTCTGTCTGCAGGTCACAGGCTCCTGGGGCAGGACCCATCCCTACAGCATCTGGGTCAGTGTTTGGGGTGGGGGGGGTGTGATCTCTGGTCCCAGCCCAGCATGCCGAGCGTTCACTCGGGTGCCTGGTCCCATGGAGGGGTGGGGGGAGATCTTGAGTGTAGGAGGCAGGCATGAGCTGGGGGGTCATGTTGGCTGGAGGTGGGTGCTGAGAGCAGCCACAGTGGGACAGTTCAGGAGGCTGCTGCGTATGTGGTGCTCGGTGGGGCGGATGGATCTGTGACCTCCTGAGAGGAGCTGGGCTGTGGGGGGGCTGCTGCAGCATTGCTGCTTATCAGTGTCTGGGGCCTGTCTGTGTCTCTGAGCCACTCCCATGGCGCATGGGGCCCATGTCTGTGTGTTTTGGTTGCCCCCTGTGGTTTGTGTGGTTGTGGAGCTGGTGGCGGCGTGATGCTGTGGGGCTGTCTCTCTTGGCCACCCTGTGGTGGGACTGGTGCCTGCAGGTCACACAGTGACAGGGCCAGCGGTGCCATGGGTCCCATGCTTCAGTGTCTCTCGGCCGCCCACAGGTCGCATGGCGGTGGGGCTGGTGGCTCCATGGGGCTGGCGGTGCCATGGGCCCCATGTCTGTGTGTCTCTGCTGCCTGCAGGTCGCACGGTGGTGAAGCCAGTGGTGGCGCGGGACTCGGAGGACTCACAGGAGGAATTCCCGGCACCCTGGGAGCTGATGCTGGGGGCGACTGAGACAGCAGAGCAGGAGGCCCTGCTGCAGCGCAAGTCGGCCCGGCGCTGTGTCAAGCAGAGACCCTCCTACGATATCTTTGAGTCCACGGACGATTCGGATGCGGAGCCCCGGCCCGGCTCCACCACGCCCCGCAGGAAGCCCTCCCGCGACTCGGGTGAGCCGCCCTACTGGGACCTCTGTCCCCCCTCCACCGCATGGGGACCAGTTCCCCTCTCCCCGTGCCAGGTTGCTGGTTTCCCCCACCTGTGTATTGGGTGCCTGGCTCTGGGGTGCAGAGGGGCCAGGGCCTGGGAGGTGGCTGTGGCAGCAGGTGGGGCTGGGGCTGGTTGGCCCTCTAACCATCTCTTTGTCCCCCCCCTCCCCCCCAGACCTGCTCCCCATGGAGGCGGAGGAGCAGAGCCGACCGCGGAGAACGCCGCTGCAGCCCGTCGTGCAGCTCAAGGCGAGGAGGCGGTTGGAGAAGGTGAGGTGGCCCCAGGCATGGAGTGGGCAGTGTATGGGTTTGATGCACCTACACCCTAGCACTGGAAGGATCCAGGCCCAGAGCAGAGGGAGAGGAGCTTGCATGGGGCCCGGGGATCCCAGTTCTGCCACAATCATGGCTAGTCGTGGGTGGGCAGGCAGGGGTCTGCCAGGATGGAGAACCCCACCTTGTTCCATCCAGGCCTCCACATGACTGGTGCAGCTCTCACTGACTGGTTTCCTGCCCTCTGTGCCAGCCACTCTCCTGTCTTGTGGCTGGATCGGGGCCAGCGCCCCCCAGAGTGGAAAGGCCCTGTGTCCCTTTCCCCACCTCTATGACCCAGCCAGTCCCCTGCCCTGGAGTCAGATGGGCGCTGGTGCCCCCTAGAGGGTGCAGGTCCCCTGCCTTCTCCCCTCTCCCTCCCCCCCCATCCCACACACACACTGACTCCCTGCTCCCCCCAGGACACACTCTCCTCTGGCTCATTCCCTTCCTTCCCCAACGGCTGGAACGGGAAGCAGAAATCCACTGACGGCGTCCACCGGCTACGCGTTGACTTCAAGGTGAGGGGGCAGCACTCCCTGGTCCCCAGCGTCGGGCAGAATTCGCACCCAGTTTGGCCCCGCTGCGGGAGGGGGGTCGGCACTGGCTCCACACCTCAGAGCGAGCCTCCATCCCCCTCCCCTTGAGGTGCTGAGGACACAGGGCAGCTCAGTCCCACATGAGTGATGGGGCAAAGGAATTAAGCCCCTTTCTGCTGCTGGTGCCCCCCTCCCCCCGCCGGGCAGGGCTGGAGGAAGGGCTGGCAGGGGACTGTCTGGGGAGTGGAGGTGATCAGGCCCCTCTGGGAGCTGGCAGGGTGCCACCCCCTCCCTCAGGTGTCCAGAGGGTCGCCACGCCCTGCCCCTCTGCAGGTGTGCCCAATGGCTGTTCCTCACTCCATGGCTGCATCGGGGGTGGGGAGGCTGGTCCCCGTGCTGCCAGGGCCCTCGTGTGCCACTGCCCTCTGAGCTGGGGGGCGCTGCTGAGCCATGGGGTCAGCGTAGAGGAGTGTGGGTGAAATCTTCAGCCTTTGCCCCACGGTGTGACCGGGATCCTGTGGGGTGGGGGGTCTAGAGGGTGGCATGGCTCTGTGCCCTGGCGGCTGCTCCAGCCTGTGTCGGTCTCCGTGGTCCCAGCCAGCCATCTGTGGGCAGGGCGAGAGGCTCACAGCTGTGGGGTGGGCACTGTCTCTTGCAGGAGGACTGTGACTTGGAGAATGTGTGGCTGATGGGGGGCCTCAGCATCCTGACCTCTGTGTCCGTCACTGCCCAGCTCATGTGCCTTCTCTGCGCCAGCAAGGGTTTCCACGAGGTGAGCACGTGGGGCCCGGATGCCGGGGTTCTCTCCCTGCTCTGGGGGCAGGGGATCTAGTGGTTAGAGCGGGCAGGGAGCGCTGGGTTCCCCCCGCTCTGGAGGTGGGGGGGTTTAGTAGTTGGGGTGGGGCGGGGAGGGCTGGGAGCCCAGACACCGGTTTCCCTCCTGGCTCTGAGGGTAGGGGGACTGGGAGCCAGGACTCCTGGGTTCCCTCCCGCTCTGAGCGGAGCCATCTCATCGGCCCGTCCCCTCCCCAGCTGGTGTTCTGCCAGGTTTGCTGCGACCCCTTCCACGTGTTCTGCCTGGAGGAGGACGAGCAGCCGCAGCGGGAGCAGGAGGAGAACTGGTGCTGTCGCCGCTGCAAATTCTGCCATGTGTGTGGGCGCAAGAACAAGGTCTCCAAGGTAGGTGCCCTGGAAGAGGTTGGGGCCCTTCCCTCCAGGCAGCGTTAGCCTGTGCCCCAGAGTGGTGCTAGGGGGCACTGTGCTGCAGGGAGCAGGGCAGGGGCGCCCCCTGGCAGTTGGGGCTGGCCCTGTTGCCCCAGAACGGCGCTAGGGGGCGCTGTGCTACAGGGGGTGGGGTAGGAGCTCTCCCTGGCAGTCAGAGCTGGCCCCAATGCCCCAGGGCAGTGCTAGGAGGCGCTGTGCTGCAGGGGGCTGGGCAGGGGCTCTCCCTGGCAGTCGGGGCTGGCTCTGATGCCCAGCGTTGAGGTCCATCTTCCCCTGCCCTGTACACCCACCACCTGAGTCCTCTGGGTTACGTACAGTCCTTTGCCGCCAAAAGCCAGGTGTGAAGCTGTTCGTCTCCCCTCGGGTGATCCCATTCTGCTCCCTGAAATCCCCCACATTGGCAGCGTGACCGGGGCTCTGCTTTGGTTCTTGCCCAAACCTGGTAATGCCGGGCAGCTGGGAATTCCCAGCAGGGCCATGTCTTAGTACCAGGTGAGGGGTCCCTGGGTGACCAGCCCCCTTCCTCACCCCAGAGGCAGCTGCATCTCAGCGCTGTCCATACCGGGGCAGCGGGGGGGAATGTGTGTGGGGGGGGGCGTAATCCATCTCTCTCTCACACCTGCCTTCTCCTTTCTGCCCTGTCACAGCCACTGCTGGAGTGTGAGCGCTGCCGCAACTGCTACCACCCAGCCTGCCTGGGCCCCAACTATCCCAGCAAGCCCATCCGCAAGAAGCGGGGCTGGGTGAGCACAGGGGCAGGGCCATGCCACGGTGGGGAGGAAAGGGGTGGGGTCTATCCTGGGGGGGGGGGGGGGGGGGGGTTTTGGGGGAGGGGTTCCCCCCCACACTAATGCTCTTGTTGGCTCCTAGATCTGCTCTGCCTGCATCCGCTGCAAGAGCTGTGGGGCTGCCCCAGGGAAGAACTGGGACACGGAGTGGTCCCACGATTACAGCCTCTGCCCCCCCTGCTCCCTGCTCTATGACAAAGGTGTGTGGGGCGGGGAATGGGGCGCGCGGGGCCTTTCCCCTCTAGGCGACGCAGGCTCCCATCCAGCCCCAGAGCGGGGACTGGCTGGCTCGGGGGGGCAGGGAATGGGGCGC